CCTGCTGGGCTTTGGGTACGTTATGACGACCAGAGGTAAAACAGAATCTACATATCTAAGTAACTTATTTTTTCAAATGTATTTCTTTTTGTGATTTTAACCTAAGTCTATAGAAAGGGTGGGTTTTTAGTCTTTCATTGTTGCGTATTTTCCTCCCTCCCTCTTTCTTCCCCCTCCCCCGTGGACTCTGCAATGCACCTCTTGGGAAAGAATGTATGAAACACGGTTTGAATGAAGAATAATGTGAAATACAATGTATACACACTTTGTAAGCAAACCAAAATAAAATACAAAATAATGTATTTTAACATTATCTTTTGCTAAAAACAAACAAAAAAAAAGGGAGCTCTAAGGGGCATAGTCCCTAGGAAGCAGCTGCCAGTCCAAGGCCCGCCTCCCTGGGTTTGAATCCACCCGCTGCTCCTTGGAGAAACAGGGGCAATCTCTTCCAGCTTTATTCACAGCTCTGGAAACGCACTGGAGGGTCAGCTATGAGTCGGCTCAAACCCCCACTGCAATCACTTAAACAACAAACAAACAAAACCACCAGCCAAACAAAAATACAAGAAGAGGCTGCCTGCCAATCTCCAACTGCTGTGGGTTAAGATGTGCATGTCTATCCTGTTCTTTTCAAGTTTTCTGTTCATGCAAAAGCACTGAGAAACGCCAGGCTTCCCTCCCCACTCTTCTTGGGCCATTATCTCCTCCATTTCACCTTGCCTCGGAGAAAAGCAATAACTTCCCTCCTTTTAATAATCTTGAACATGGGTGTGCCAATTTCATAGGAGTTTTCTCTTCACAGGCAGGCATGCAAACCTTAAATATCTCACACCTGCCCTTGAAAGCCTTTTCCATCCAAGGGCTAAAAATAAACAACGTTATCATTGGGACCATAAGGTGTGCAATGCCTTATTTACCAGAGGAAATGGTCTTGCTTCTCTACCAAGCCCCTCAAATAAGCTAAGAGGTTGCTAGGTCATAAAGGCTGGTGGCTTCCTGGTCAATACCACACCTCCGTACGTGTGTGTCGATAACGGCACCCTGTGATCAGGTTTTCAAGATACAGGCTATTGCTCAGCCTAATTCTCTTTAGATCATTACACTGACTCAGACAGCTCAACACTAAACACTCCCCAAACCAGCGCTGCAACTTCTGTTAAGGAGGAAAAAGACCCCAAACGTGAAATCTGAGAGCATCACTCAAGGTCCTCTCTGCATGTCCCAGTAATGAAACCCCACCCCCAAATGCTACAGAAATTAAGATCTTCTTAACAACGATTAAGTTTGAATGAACAAGTGCACCACTCTCTCCAAATGGACAAAATTCACAGGTTATCTGTTCACACTGGAGCCCACCTTCCCACTGAGTCCTGGAGATCCAAGGATAAACAACGAATTGTCCTTAAGCTGAAGGAGGGAGCCACGTGTGGAGCAAAAAGTCAAACGCCCTAAAAGAACGTCCTCAATGGTGGGGGTGCATCGATTCTGGAGGCTTAGTGGGAAGAAGTTGCACTGCCAACCCAAAGGTAGGCAGTTTGAATCCAACCGCTGCTCTGGGGAGAAAGATGGGCAATTGTTCCCTGTGGTTTACAGCCTGTGAAAAGCCGCTGGAGGGTCAGCTGAGTCGGTTCTGACTTGACAGCACACAACAACAACACAATAAAACATTTTTAAAATAACCTAGGGACAGACTCCTTTATACAAGGAGTATCAAGACTTAAACAATGAAAACGACTAAACAAAGCTGAGAGGAGATTATAAAAGATCTACGTAAACGAGAAGATATACGGACGTGTGTCTGTCTATCTGTCTATCTGTCTGTCCATTCGTCTGTCTCCGGAGCTCTTGTGCCCTAGGGGTAAGGAGCTGTGCCTCCATCCCAAAGGCAGGCAGTGTGAATCCACCAGCTACTCTGCACAAGAAAGATGGGCAGTCTCCTCCTACGTGATTTATAGTCTCTGAAAACCTGCTCAAGGGTCAGCTATGAGTTGGTCCCAACTTGATGGTACGTAGTAGCAACAAAGCTTTGAAGAGACTGACGCCAATCACGCCACGTTCTAGGGCAGGTCCAGCAAGCTCTCGGCTTCAGAAACACTGGCTGAAGCTCACCCACACGTCCTGCAGAGTCTAAAGGAAATCAGCATCAGCTCTGTGGACACACCTGACCAAGGAGTGGAAGAGGTAAGTCTGGATCTTCTTAACCAGGAATGGGTGCGTCTGACTCTTCTTGTTGTTTTGGGCGGCTGTCGGACATGGTCAAGAGTCTGTCGGTCACTGGCTTATATGTGAACAGACATGGTCAAGAGTCTGTCAGTCACTGGCTTATACGTGAATAGCAAAATTCAGGTCCAAGTCCAGAAGGTAATTCTGAATCCGCGTCTCTAAATTCTCGCAGTGAAATCTTCCCCAATGGAGCGATCACACTCACAGCCACTCACTGCTGGGAAGTTGTGACCGTCTCCTAACTGACCCTCCAGCCGGTCTGCAGTGTATAATGAGAGGAGATTGTCCCTCTTTCTCCCATGAAGCAACTGGTAGTCTTCAACTGCCAGAGAGTGGTCACCCTTGGGTTACAAGCGACGCTGCCCACTCACAAGATCGCCAGCACTCCAGTGATACAGAGATAAGAGTAATAAAATACACCCAATTACACAAGTGTATATAGAGAGAGCAATCAATGTGCTTGGCTGCTAAATGAGAGGCTGGTGGTTCAAGGCCACTGAGGGGCAGCTCTGAAGAAAGGCCTGGCCATCTACTTCCCAAAAATTCAGCCACAAAACCCCATGGAGCACAGCTCCACTAGAACACATGCAGGGTCACAGCAAGCTGGGAGGGAGCACTGACCATTGGTTTCATGGATACACAGACCAACCCCAAACGGGTGCTGGAGTGAGGCTGACGGCAACGCCGCAGGACAGAGCCGTGCTAATGAGGTTTCCAAGGCCGTGGTTCTTTACAGAAGCAGAGCACCCCACCTTCTCCCACAGAGCAGTGGGTGGGTTTAAACCACAGACCTTAGGGTTGGCAGCCAAGTGCTCTGAACACAGCACCAGCACGGCTTTATCCGAGGCTACACCTAAGTCCTAACTCTTGAATCAGAACAGATACCCTGATGCGTCAGTTAGCACTAGAAGAGCCATGTCCCTTGCTTGTCAAAATGACCACACCGTGGTCCTGAGAATGGGCTCCAGGGCATCAGAAAAGGCCTTCAACAGTGGACGGAGGAGACAGGAGCTCGGGGAGGCGGAAGGTGCAGAGGCGCATCGCCCTGCTGGGGCCATCCACCTGCAGTGACCGCTGATCCCACTGCTGGGAGCAGCCTCCCTGCGTGTGATACAGTTCCACACGGGACACAGCCGGCTCATGTCACCGTCACGTCTATACCGCGACTGAGAGGCAGACCAGGACTAGTCTATTCCTGGCCCTGTCACGTGTGAGATGTGTCAAACCAAAGATAGGAAGTTCACTCTGTGGGTCCCGGTCTCCCGGCCACTCACACTGGGTAACACCGTTCCCCACCCTTCCTCCTGTGTCAGTCTATGTGGCTGGGATGCCGGGGAGACAGGCCGCTAGTATTTCAAACACCGGCAGGGTCATCCAGGGGGGACAGGCTGCAGAGGGGCTTCCAGACTAAGACAGACTGGGCAGAAGGTAGGTGCCAATGAGTCGACTCTAAGTCATAGTGACCCTGGCCGGAGCTCCCGTCAGCATGTCTGATACACTGGTGCCCACTGTGACAGTCACAATTTGCAATTTACAGTTACAATCCATTTTGTTGAGGGTCTTCCTCTCTTTCTCTGACCCTCCTCTTTTCCCAGCGTGACATCTTTTTCCAAAGTCTGGTTCCTCCTGGAGACATGTCCAAAGCGTGTGGGATAACGTTTTTATCATATTACCCTCGCCTCCCTGGATGCACTTCTCCTAAGACAGGCTTGTTAGTTCTTTGGGCAGCCCAGGAGACAGTCAGCAGCCCTCCACTTCCACAACTCAAGAGCATCAAGTCTTCTGTCATCCTTAGTCACTGTCCAACTTTCACATGTATAGGAAGTAATAGAAAAGACTATGGCTGCAACCACTGTGGAAGGCTGAATGGCACTTTCTCAAAAAGTTGCAAATATAAATACCATTTAACCCTGCAATTCCACTACTGGGAATTTACTCTAAAGAATCCACAACCACCACCCAAGCAGATATATGCACACCCATGTTTACTGCGGCTTTGTTCACAATAGCAAAGAGCTGGAAACAACCTAAGTGCCCATCAACAAACGAATGAATAGAGAAGCTTTGATATATTCACACAATGAAATACTATGCTGCCTTGAAAAACAAGGAACTCATGAAATATTATGCAAAATGGGTGACCCTGGAAGACATTATGCTGAGTGAAATATCTCAGTCACAAAAGGACAAATATTGCACAGGGTCATTGTTGTAAAGCAGGACTGACACTGGGGTTGAGGGAAGACAGAGAAGAAGGGAGGAATGATGTATACTGCATTGAAACAGATGAGGGAGTGAACTGTTTAAAAGGGATATATGATTGGGTATTATTCTCATGACAGGAGTCCAGAATGAAGGCTGCACAGTGGAGTGGACTTGAGGGGAGGGATTGCATAACAATAAAAGAATTTTTCTTTTACTTTTCAAGGAGAAGAGTGAATTGGGGTGAAGGGGTGGGCAGGGAGAAAAGTGCAACAATGAATGATTAGAAACCCTAAGTCTCTGTACTCTTTCATTAAAATTAAAAAAAAAAAAACCACAACAAAAACCCACAAGGTGGCTGGTCAGATTATCAAGGTCCTGGAAATCACTTGTTAATCTTTACCTATAAACTTTTCTTGATAAGGATGGAGGGAGATCTCTTCAGAAGAGAAAAGGCCTGCAGGATTCAACCTTTCTTACACTGAGTATCTTAGGGTTCATAATGGAAATAACCCCCAGAAAAGAAGGAGAGGTGAGGGTGTGGGAGCAGGAACAGGGGTGCAGCAGACACCAACCTTGGCTGTGTTGATCCATGGGACTCTGGGGAGGGCCCATTCCTGGGTGTGGGGGTCGCATCCCGGTCCCCTTCAAGGTCCCACAGTGGATGTCTTCCACAATCCCCTTGTCGTGCACACCATCAATGGGCTGGAGGAGGTGAAGGAACCAGGTAAGACACTCATTAAGGTACACACAGTTTCCAACAATGCACAGTTTTTAGCTGTCTCCCTACTGTGGTCAAAGGTAAAACACACCCCCTTATTACCTAGCAATCAGCCATATACTTTACACCTCACAGGTAAGAAACCACTGCCAACAGCAAACACCCACGCCTGTATATAACATAAGCAGAATTATCTGTTAGTTCAGCCAGTGGTTCCCAAAAGAAAAACAAAGCAAAGCCAGATACGCTGAGTCAGTTCAAGTCAGAGGTTCAGGTTTTATTTATCTAAACAGTTAAAACAAACAAACAAACCAACAAACCCACCATGGTTTTTTTGTAACATCAACATCTACAGATAAAAATGAAGAGTCAAAAATAGGCTATTTCTCCACACCTTTTCTTCTCTGTCTGGAAATCTGTTGTATATTGAAAGGACTCAAGTCAGAGAGAAGACTAGTTTAGATGTTTCTGATGATCTATTATTTTTCTTTTTAGTGTTCTGGGGTGTGTGTTTTTCCTCTGAAGAGGAAGGGAACAATGTGGAAAACTTAAACTTGAATTCAGAAGGTTCTGTGGCAGTTAGAAGAGAGGAACAGGCAGGGTAGGGCAGTGAATGGGGGTGAAGGCAGAGTGAGGAGAGGGCAGATGAAGCTATACCACGGAGGGAGGAAGACCAAAAACGGTTAAAAGCACAGTTGGGGGAGAAAAAAAGCGAACCCAGGCCTGGAATTGCGATAAATAGCTATTGAACTGACGTTAATCCAATCCAGAGTTGGGCAACCAAGCATGCATTTGAAAAAAGCGTCTATGCCTCCCCAAACTGGAGTAGCAATTTTCAAAAACAGCCTGGAAGGAAGATTTCCAGAAGTTTATAGAAACCAAATGACTTCCAGGCAGAAAGTATGAGTGTTTGCAGTTTTAGAGAAAAGAAAGTTAATTTCTGCAGCGTCAAAAGCCCGCATTTGAAAAGAGGGAAAATTTACCATAAAGAGAATGTTCAGAAGACGAGTAGGAAGAGGCTGGAGAGGGCGAACAGTAAGAACAGAAGGAAATCAGTGTGGCGGCCACATCTAGGCCCCAGAGAGCTGGATGTCAGAGGAGGAGAGGGGCGGTAATGAGATCTGAGCATCCAGTCAGCCTGCGGTCCAGCCCCTCGCCCAGGCGGCCAGCTGAGGGCCAGCACAAGGAAGCACAGGGCAGCAAAACGCAAAACCTGCTGAATAAGAGCAAAGGAAGGCCACAAAAGGGTAGAGGAGACCTGGCTTACTGCACTGTGTGGACTGTGAACCAAAAGGTCAGTGGTTCAAATCTACCAGCTGCTGCAGGTGATATGGCCTCCTCCTGTCAAGACGGGCAGCCTTGGAGGCCCGGTGGAGGGTAGCCATGATGTGAAACCCAGGGAAGAGCAGTGGCTGTGGTTTCTGCTGGTGGTGCAGTGGATTAAGCATTAGGATGTTAAGTGAAAAGGCTGGCGGCTGGACTCCACCAGCTGTTCCATGGGAGAGAAAGGAGGCTGGTTCCAGACGGATGAGGGCTCTGGACACCTCCGGGCATTGCTGCTCTGTGCTCTGCGGGTGCTAAGAGCTGACCTTAACCAGATGGCAGCAGAGGAGTGGGGCCCAAGAGTATGAGGCAGTGGACAAGGACACTGGACAGCAAGACAGAAGGAAGCGGATGAGACAAAACTTCCCAAAAAGCCAATGTAAAATCATTCCTTCTGAATCAATGGTAAGTTCCAGTGCTTGTTCTGTGTGCTATCAAGTCATGATCCATTCACAGTGACCCCCAGCAACAGAACAGAACACCCCATAAGGTGTCCATGGTTGTCATTTCACTGGGAGCAGATGACCAGGTCATTCCTCCACAGAGCCAGTGCAAGGATTCAAACTGCCAACCTTTCAGCTAGCATTCAAGCATTTACCCACTCAAGGTACTTCACGTTAAAAGTACCAAAAAGTCCGACTCCTGGCTGACCCTCCCACGAGTTTCTGAGGCCGTGAACGGGAGGGGCAGGGACCATCCATCTTTCTGCCTCAAGAGTCCCTGCTGGATTTGAACTGCCAGCAGCATGGCCTCCGGGATGGTGGCCTCCGGGATGGTGGCCTCCGAGGTGGTGGCCTCCGGGGTGGTGGCCTCCGGGGTGGTGGCCTCCGGGGTGGTGGCCTCCGGGGTGGGGGTGGAGGTTAGCACTCTCTGGGGCTTCAGCCGCCAGAGGTCCCATTATGCTCATAAGGGCGAGCTAAATATTCAAATTGTGCCTTTCATTCCTGAGGTCGGAGAGCCTCAACTTCTGAAATGATTATTTGAACCACGCAGGATAAGGTTCACAAGCCACAGATCAGATCTAATAAGGCTTCCAAATGGACTGAATATAAACTCAAGAAACGCTAATGACTTCAATATGTCAATAACATACTCAATATAGCCACTAAAAAACACTTCATGGAAAACAAGCTGCTCTGTTTCTGTGGATCCCAGAAATGCTGGAAATGGATTTTTACAAAGAAAGGACTTAGGGCTACTGTAGGGGTAACCATGATATATTATTAAATGAGAATGGGGAAGGATGGATTTGGTCTCTATCATTCTACGAGGAGAAAAGAAAAGAAAAATCAATCTGACCAGTATATACAAGAAACACAAGGCAGATTCTCCTTGCAGGCAAGGATGGTGGTACTTCAGGGCACAAACCTCGGTCATGCTGTCACGAGGCGTCAGTCCCTGAAAAAGGAAATTCTGCTGGGAAAGCGGAGGGTCCGAGAAAGGAAGGAAGACGGAAAGGCACCGTGTCCGTAACACGCACCTGGGCAAGACAGAGATGGTGATTCTGGACAGGGCAGCGTGCAGCCCTGCTGGTCAGTCTCTGAGTCGTAGCCGACATGCTGTCACCTAACAACAACAACGTATGCAAACGTACACGTGTTCAATCAAGCAAGAAAGAGTAAACAAAGAATCTCCAAGTTATTACTTAGGAGAGGGGAAGCCAGGACTATTTCCTAGTCCCCGCGGCGTGCAAAGAGTTAACGTACTTGGCTGCCAAGTGAAAAGTCAGAGGTTCAAGTTCACCCTTGGCTATCTCAGAAGGACAGTGTGACTATCTACTTCTGAAAAGCCAGCCGCTGAAACCCCAGGGAGCACAGGGCTCCTCTGACACATACGAAGTCACCGTGACAGTCCCGGTGTGGCCAGTGGCTTCAGCATTCTCTACCTTCCCCAATGCCACACACTGCTGTGAGCCAATGGCAATGCACAGACCTCACGGAACAGAGCACAGTTTGACCCCCTCTGGTTAGTAGCCCAGCATTTAGCCCTCCAAACCACCAGTCTACTTTGAGCACAAGCACATATTCTGCTGATTTTAGAATTCTTAACGAAAGTAGCATCTTTTAATATAGTAGAGGAAGAAAAAAAAAAAAATAACCCACCAGAACAAAACTAGGTATTTGCTTCTGAGTTCCAAAGCTTTACTTGAAAGGGACCAAAATCCAGGAGGGGCAATCTCCTCCTGTACCATCAGGTCTGATTTGACAGTTGTTGTTGTTATGTGCCGTCAAGTCGTTTGCGACTCATAGCGACCCTATCTATGTACAACAGCCCTAAACCCTGCTCTATCCTGCACCAACCGCACTGCCTCTGACACACCCATCCCGATTACCCCAGTCACCGAATCAATCCATCTCATAGAGGGTCTTCCCCTCCTGCGCCGTCCCTCCACCCTCCCAAGCATGATGTCCCTCTCCAAGGACCCGTCCCTCCTGGCAACGTGTCCAAAGTATGTCAGACGAAGCCCCAGAATCCTTGCCTCCAAGGATTTGACAGTATACACACAAAATAATAATAATAATAAACAAAACAAACAAACAAAAAAATGACCTGAAGTCCTGCATAGAAGAAGGGCTTGTGTGGGAAGCCAAATATCAAATTTAATATTAATAATAAAACAAATGCTGTGTCAGGATAGGAAGGCCAATACAATTTGAAATTCACCCTGTAGCACTAAGGCAATCCTTAAATAGGGGTAGACATTAAGGCAATCCTTAAGAATCTGCACAATTCTTAGTTTGTATTTACTGAATCCCTCCCTCCTGAGATAAGCATAAGGTAAACAATAGAGAAGAATTTGCCCTTATTTACAAAAGACTTCCCCATGAGCCTTTGTTTTTATTTACTACTCCCTTGTGATTTCCCTTTGTTTACCTCCTGATGATTCTGAATAAAAACTCAGAAACGCATAGCATAGGCGCTGCAGTTCTCCCAGCCGTTAGCCCCCTGCCTTCACGCTTTCTGGCCTGACACCCATTCCTGTGTGTCCCCCGCTCTGTCTTTTCCTTCGGTTGACAACAGGCTTGCACTTCTCTGCGGTTATTTCTATTTTAAGCTGTTCTGCTGACCTACTTGAGCCCAGAGGTGGCCCCCTTCACCCCATCTGCCTGTGATGACCACAAACCAGTGGTCACCTAGTTGATTCCCGCTCCTGGTGACCCCACGTGTGTCCAATAGTACAGCTGTGCTCCATGGGGCTTTTCATAACTGAATGTTCAGATCTAGGTCACCAGGCCTTTCTTCTGACACGTCTCTGGATGGATTAAAACCTCTGACCTTTTCATGAGTAACCAAGCACTTTAACTGTCTGCATCACTCTGGGGCAGGGGTCAGGGGCCAGGGACTAAAACCTCTATTTCTCTTAGGCTAAGGCCCTATACATTTTCCTAAGCAACAGCCACTCCAAAGCAAACTGTCAGAGGATTTTGTTACACTTGCACATTAAGAAAAAGGAAAAAACAAGGTTTACTACTGGACCAGTAAGCAACATCATGGTGCACAGAAAAGACTGAAGGTGGCAAAGATTTTACTTGGATTCACATTCAACACACACGGCAGCAGCAGTCAAGAAATCAAAGAATGTCTTGTATTGAAAAACCTGCTGCCAAGTAGCTTAACGTGCTAAAGAGTAAGGATGTCCACATAAAGACTAAGGTGCACCTGACCTAAATCATGGTAATGCATCATATCCTGCAAAAGTCAGGCAATGAACAAGAAAGCACAAAAGACTGATGCATCTGAAGTACGATATTGGCAAAGAACAACGAATAAACTGTGGAGTGTCAAATGAATAAACATATCTGTCTGGGGGAAAAAGGAAGGAGTACACACCAGAAATCTCCTTAGAAGCAAGCAAGGCTGTGACATTTCATCAGACACACTTTGAGCATGTTACTAGGAGGGGCCGGTTCTGCTAGGTGGAGATGGACGTCATGCTTACAAACACAAAGGGTCAGTGAAAAAAAAGGAAGACCCTCAATGAGGAAGGCTGAGATAGACGATGACTGAAGATGCTGATGTGCGCGCAGGGTTTTGTTGCACTGCACACCAGGTTATTACGGGTGGGGAGCCCCTGTCCAACGGCATCTACAAATGAGAATTCTCACAGGATGCTGTTCACTTACTCAAAAGGCCGCTCCGTCATCTGTGCGTGTATTGCAGAGGCATTAGGCCGGAACTAAGCCGGTAAGGTGACCCCACGGCAACCCTCGGGATCACGGAGGATTATTACAACCTCGGGCCAGAGACTAACACCTGGCCTGTGCCCGGCAACCCAGAGCTCTCTCTCCACACCAGATACACACACACCCCGGTGTGTACACAAACAAATACGCACGTGCACATACACTCACATTCCTGTATCTTTGTTTGGAAAGTCTGTTTCCCTTTTAAGCTTAGAGATCTAAAGCTGACATTTCAAGGGAAGAATAATTTTCTGTATATATTCATTAGTGGTATTGATAACTCTGGAAAGCTCTGGCAGGCACCCAAGTGGCCTCGTGGGTGACCCAAAGAGACGCAGTTTGAATCAACCAGTAATTCCATGGAATAAAGATGGGCAATCTCTTCTCATGTCATTTATCGTCCCTGAAACCCGCTGGAGGGTCAGTGATGTCCTGGCTCCAGCCTGACAGCATGAACAACAGTGGACGTTATAAATTAGCACCGAGGTGGGGAGAAGAGTGACGCCTTAATTTACTTACTCACCTGACAAAGTATCTCTCCCCCACAAATCACAGCATCTACCTGTCAGAACTCTTCATCATTTTCTTCCCCTTATCATTGCTTTAAACAAGCTGAGAGCTGACCTTCTCAACTACCTCTGTAGCAACCCAAGGCCCTAGCTTGTGCATTTTTAATAATATATGAGAAAAGATAAGGATCTAGCCTGATCCTTTCATGGGTGATATTTCAAGTTTAAAAGGGGATACGTGGTTGACCAGAAATCTTAACCACCTAGGGGTTGAACACTTAATTACTTGCTGAAAGGTTAGGGGTTTAAATTCACCCCGTGATGCCTCAGAAGAAAGACCTGGCTATCTGCATCTGAAAGCCCACAGCCCTGAAAGCCCTGTGGGTCACTACTGTGCATACATGGAGTTGCCACCAGGCACAGCAGACTTGTGGGCAGATAACCAGGATGATGGCTGAGAAAATGAAACCACAGCCTTGAAGCAGAGCCGAACCCTGGCAACGCTCCATCGGCTGTAACAATGGGGTAGGTGTGTTAGAGACAGTGAGATTGGCTCAGGATAGAGCAGGGTTCAGGGCTACTGGACACAGGGTCGCTAAGAGCCGGAGTCGACTCGATGCCACATAATAGCAACAATGCTTTCTAAGTAAGAGGGTGCCCATCTTTCTCCCAAGGAGACGCTGGTGGATTTGAACCATCAATCTTGCAGTTAGCAGCCAGGGCTACTGAGACGAGTCTTACCTTGTGCACCTGGTGCATGCCTTCCTGCGGGAAGTCCCCAGACCCCATGGTGGGCATCGCGTGAGAGACACTCGGTGGTCCTGGACTAGGTCCCATCATGCTGTGGACGGAACCCGGCGATGGGCCCGGCCCTGGGCTGGGCCCCAGGATTGGTCCAGGTGAGGGTCCGGGGCCTGGCGAAGGCCCCGGGTGGGGCATGGTGCCAGGGTCCGTGGGCGTGGACATCAACCGCTCCGGCCTGTGCCAGCCAGCCGGGTCACACTAGCCTGGAGAAGAGGGAAGACAGAGACACTTTAAACACAACGTGGTGGGGAGGATGAACCCCCTCTGTGAGGACATCAAACAGAATGGCCCCGCCCTGTGCAGATGTCTGCAAGGCATCGGCCCAGCTTTATGAAGATGACTTGCTAGGGAAAAAATCATTCTAAATGATTCCCCAGACAGATGTAAATCAGAGGAGACATGGAACGATGTCAGGAGACCCACAGCTAACACACAAGCGGCACAATAAGCAGGTTAGACGTCACATGTTGAAGCAACAGATGCCCCACTGACCACTGTGGACATCGCACCAGACATCAGCTCCCACAGCCATTAAAATATCAAATCCCAGGGGAGCTCTGGTGGCCTAGTGGTAAGGAGCTGCAACTACAATCCCAGAGGTGCACGGTTCGAATCCACCAGATGCTCTGCCGGGGAAGGAGGGACAATCTCCTCCTGTACCAGTCAGATCTGATTTGACGGTACACGTACACAAAAATAATAAAATAAAATTAAAAAAAAAATCAAATCCCTAGAAGAGTATCCAGCCAAGAAGTAAATGTATCAGCAAGCGGGTACCAGGCCCATCACAAAGAACCATGGCCAGAGAACCACCATCAAAACAGACCCACCATCCAAGGCCATTCCCAGCCATCACAGCCTCCATCGGTTCCGAGGCAATCTCAACAAGAGAAGGCCCCTCTTTCCCTCTTGGACCACTGGGTGGCTTTGAACAGCCAACCTTCTGTGAGTTGTCCAATAATTAAACCACTGAGCCACCAAAGCCAAACTGACCAAGCCCACGGCCATGGACTGGATCCTCTCTCGTGGTCACCCTCACGAGTTAGGTGTCCGAGGCTGTAAACCCTAACAGGAGCAGATGGACCCATCTTCCTTCCTCCTGACAGGTGTCCGGTGGGTTCAAACTGCTTTTGGATAGCAGTCCAACACCTTACACACTACACCACCACCAAAACCCCAGTGCTGTCCAGTCGGTCCTGACTCGTGGGGATCCCTCATCAGGTATCTGTAAATCTTTGTGAGAGGAGACCACACATCTTCCCCACTCAGACCTACTGGTAGATTCAAACCCCTGGCCTTTCAGTGAGCAGTCCAGCCTGCAAGGTACTGCACCACCAAGTTCCTTTAAAATAACACAGATTCCTGTTCATGGGGGGTGGAAAAGAAGTCTCAACTGTGGGAAAATGCAGCGGGAGTCAAAGAAACACAGGCTCAAACATCCATAGAGATGGATGGATGGATGGATGGATGGATGGATGGATGGATGGATGGATGGATGGATGGAGAATAAGTGGGTGGATGGATGGATGGATGGATGGATGAGCAGCTGGACAGACAGACAGACAGATGTGGACACGGATACAGGCTCTAGCTGTCAGAGAGCCCTGGCGGTGCAGTCAGTAGAGCTAACCCCGATAGGACACCTCTGTGGTGGTCTGAATCCGGCAGCTGTTCCAAGGGAGAAAGGTGCGTGGTCTCCTTCAGTGCTGTTTACAGTCTCAAGGAAACCCACTGACCGGTCAGCCAGGAGCTGGATCTAACTGGACAACAATGAGCTCGAGTTTGAGCTCAGTTCTACGACTTTTCCTCTTCTGCAGCTGAAAGGAGTTGATGCGGTGAGCCGCCATCACTCAGCTCAGAGTGAGAGTGACCCTATCAACAGCAGAAGGCAGGGCCCTGAGAGCCCTGCGGCCGGACCAGGTCTTCAGACCCCGGTCACCCTTGGGCTCATTTTCTCAGTCACTGCCTCAGTCCATCCATCTCATGGGGTCCCCCTCTCCTCCACCACCCCTCCTGGATGGGCACTTGGGTTGTCTGGCCACTGTGCTACAGGATAAGACCTTTCAGACACACCCTGCGAATGTAGACAGCTAGGCCTCTCTCTTTTTTTATTATACTAGTTTATCTGCAGAATTCAAATACATTGTTTTTCACACCAGTTCCTTCCCATTTCCTTTCTGAGGCTCCCCTTGCTGGATTTGAACCAGCACCTTAGGTTAGTGGTGGAGTATGTCACCATGTGTGTCACTCAGGGACTATGAAGAGAGTCAATTAAATATTTATAAATAAAAACAAACAAGTCATCTATACTGGAAGTGGGTTCATGCACAGAAATTTTTTTATTAATTTTAATGAAAGTTTAAAGAGACTTAGGGTTTCCAGTCATTCATTGTTGCACTTTTCTCCCTGCCCACACCTCCACTTGGCCAATTCACTCTTCTCCTTGAAAAGTAAAAGAAAAACTCTTTCATTGTTATGCAATACCTCCCTTCAAGTCCACTGCATTGTACAGCCTTCACTCTAGACTCCTGTCATGACAATAATACCCAATCATATATCCCTTTTAAACAGTTCTCTCCCTCATCTGTTTCAATGAAGTATACATCATTCCTCCCCTCCTCCTTCTCAGTCTTCCCTCAACCCTGATGGCAATCCTGTTTTACAATAGTGACCCTATGCATTATTTGTCCTTTTGTGACTGAGATATTTCACTCAGCATAATATTCTCTAGTGTCATCCACTTTGCACAGAAATCTTAAAAATGCAGATAGGAATGCAGGCCATCCTACTAAGGAGAGGAGCACTGCATGAGGCAGCGGAAGGAGGTGGCTGCGGAGGGGCTGAGAGAAGGGCCTCGCTCAAACCTGCTTTACTGCTTCAGCTGGGAGGAAGACAATTTAGTCTGAGCAGCTTCTCTAACAACAAGGACACTTGGAGGGTGACGTCCAGCCTTGAACGCACCACAGCTCTGGGTTATTATTTATGCTCTGGGATCAACAAAGCAGGAAGAACACTGTTTGTTTTCTTTTTGCAACACACAACACACACAGAAGTTCATTGGGCACTTTAAATTTAGGACACTGATGTCAGTTCAAGGCTTCCGAAAGTTCCAATGTTTTTCATGTCTATAAGCCAACTACTACAAGCCTTTATTTTTTAATGAATCAAAGGAAATTGTCTACTTCCTGTTACGGTTTACCTTGAAAGTGCCTTCAATAGGTATTACAGTAACACACCACGTGCTGGAACAATGAAGACCTCAGCACTTAACTCTGCCTCTGGGAGTTCACCCCTCCTGTTTCACATTTCAGCAGATAGTAACTCCAGATACTGCCTCACAGGTATTACCATGTTCATCCGGGAATCTTGCAGAAATCTGATCATGCTGGGACACTGTGGTCGTTGTGGGACACTGTGGCCATTCTGGGACACTGTGGTCATGCTGGGACACTGTGGTCATGCTGGGACACTGTGGTCCTTACCTGTCACAGAGGTCATACCAACTCAGAGGACTCCACGGGCGGCAGAAGGCTGGGTGGCTCATGGCTTTGAAGAAGGCTGGTGGTGCTCTCAGGTTTGAACTGTTGCTAGGTGCTCTGAGTCAAGTAGGATTCCTAGCAACCCTATGAACAAGAGTCTTAACCCTGTCCTATCCTGCACCCCTCACAATCTCTGGCACACTGGAGGCCACTGCAGCAATCACCATGTTAATTCACCTGGTTGAGAGTCTTCCTCTCTTGACAAACCTCCACCTTTCCAAGCATGATGTTCCTCTCCTGGGAAGAGCCTTTATCATCTTTACTCCAAGGAGCATGTTGGCTACACCAGGCTAGTCTGAGTTGGGTGCCGTTAGCGGGAAATGAGGACCACTTCCACGGCACTGTCTATCTAATTAGGCTTCTGGTAGCACAGATGGTTCCAGATGCTTTACTCTAGTAGGACAAATTCAAACCCACCAGCTGCTCCACTGAAGAAAAATGAAACCATTGGCTTTCATAAATGCAAAAAAAAAAAAAATCACAAAAAACAGAACTTGCTGTTGAGTCTGAACCAAGAACAGCTGAACTTCCTTTGGGGCCTGAGGCTATAAATCAGACGGGAGACTGCAAGTCTCTGTGGACGAGGCCACCAGCGTTCCCAGATCAGTATGTGGCTGTTCTTGTTGCTGGGTGCCATCAAGTCAAGCACGACCCATAACGACCCGAAGAACAGATCCGAACCCTGTCTTACCCTCATTCAGCCCCACAATCAAAGAAATCAAAAGGTGAGTCGCATTAGGCAAATCTGATACCAAAGAGCTGTTTAAAGGGCTCAAGAACAAGGAGTGCACACTGAAGACTAAAGTACCCGTGACCCAGGCATGATACTTAGACTGCTTTGTGTGTACTAAGCGGTACAGTGAATTCTAAGGATCAAAGAAGAACTGATACATTTCAGTTATGGTGTTGCTGAAGAATATTGAATATATGGACCACTAAAATAAGTACTTGAAGCACTCGTTGCAGAAGATCAAAGAATACAGCCTTCAATATGGACTGCATTCAATGTCAACAAGATACATTCTTACCACTGGACGGATAGGCAACATTATTATAGAAGAAAAGACTGAAACTCTCAACAGCTTCATCTTGCTTAGATCCACAATTAACACCCTTGGTACCAGCAGTCAGGAAATCAGGAGATGCACTGCACTGGGAAAGTCTGCAGTTAGGGACCTCTCCTCTCCAAATTATTGAGGAGTAATGATGACAGTTTGAGGACTAAGGTGTGTCTGATTCAGGCTATGGTCTTTCCAAACATGTGCTATGTTTCTGAGAGCTGGACAATGAATCAGGATGACAGAAGTAGAATTGATGCATTTGAGCCGTGGTGTTGGAGAAGAGCACTGAACATCCAGGGACAGCAAAAGAACTGAGATCTTGGAGAGGGTGCAGCCAGCATGCTTCTTGGAGGCAAAGATGATGAGGCTTCGCCTCATATACTTTGGACATGTTGCTGGGAAGTGCTATTCCTTGGAGAGGGACATGATGCTCGGAAAGGCAGACGGTCAGTGACGGAGAGGAAGACCCTCGACCAGGTGTACTGTTACCACGGGCTCTAAGGTGTCAGGAGTGTGAGGAAGGCACAGAATAAATAGGACAAAGTTCAGATCTATCATTTAT